GAGAACGAACCACCGCGCTTTGTCCCCAAACGCGTCCCCGCTCCGGCTGCGCGGCACTGGGCAGCCACGAGACGCTGCCGATGCTGTGGCGGCCCTTGACAGAGCACGGCCACCCCGGTGGTTTTTCCCCCCCAAAATTGGCAAATTGATTCTGTGCTGGAGAAGAAACACCTGATAAACCCCCTGGACCACGGGGGCAGGCGATGCTCACGGTGCCGGAGTTTGCTTCCAAGGATGGGGATGGGAATGGGGATGGGGATGGGGATGAGGATGGGAATGGGGATGGAGATGGGGATGGGGATGGAGGGATGGGATGGGATGGGATGGGGATGGGGATGGGGATGGGGATGGGAAGGAGCCTGCAGCTCGCCGAGCCTGCATCGCCCAGCAAAGTTATGCCCATTCACCGCCGCAGCACCCCACTCATCCTGAGATTTATGGAATTACGGAGCCCTCAGAGCAGCCACCTCCTCAGCTCCATCGAGGGGCCGGGAAATTTGCTCTGCTCTGATCGGGGGGAAGATGCATACACTGCGTCTACGGGGAGCGGACCGCTTCCCTCCTGACTTATAGGCGGGAAACTGGGCTCCTGGGATTTGGAAATAAATATTTGATCTTTAAAGATCATTTTGTTGCTTGCTGCAGTCAACACAGCCAGGATTTTAGTGTTTGTTTATGGTTTATACCATATGATTCAATAAACTCTGGCTGAGAAACATGTGCATAATTAAGTTTAAAAGGCGGCCTCAACTCCACTCCACTCCTCATTTTCAAGCCAGGCTTTGTGTAACAAATTTTGTTTATTGCTGACACCGAGTTCGTCCTTCCCTCCCCTTCACTCAACCCATCAGGATTGAATAGACATTACTTTAAAGATCCAAGGTTTTTAGCAAAGCATCTGCAGGGCAGATTGTGGAGGTGTGGAGGAGAGGGTGGCGATGGGGCCGTCGCACCGTGTCCGCGTGCGATCCCGGTCCCTACAAACTGACTAACCTGCATCAGATTTGGGTTATACAAGGAAAAGCGAGCCCAAGCTCCTGTCTTGCCGCACCCCCAGTCCCTTGGGAAATGGCAATTTCTGGCTGGGGATGCCCCCTGCTACCTGGCCTATGGCTCGTCCTGCTCCTCCGGGTCCGTTTGGGAACCAGCAGCTCCGGCCCTGGGGGCTACGGGACGGGCACCACCCCCGCACGGCACTGTTGGATGGGAAAACCCAATCTTTTTTTTGCCTGAAACCTGTTACTGAATGTCCTGGTTTCAGCTGGGATAGAGTTAATTTTCTTCCTAGCAGCTGCTGTGTTTTGGATTTAGTATGAAAAGAATGTTGGTAACACATACTGTTTTAGTTGTTGCTAAGCGATGTTTACATTCATCAAGGATTTTTTCAGCTTCCCCCAGAGGCTGAGAGGGAGCACAGACAGGACAAGCGGCCAAAGGGATATTCCATACCATGGACATCATGCTCAGTGCAGAAATGGGGGCTGCCGGGGGGCAGGAACCCGCGACCGGTACACAGGATGGGCTGGGCAACCGATCATCGGGTGGGGAGAGCGACTTGTGTTGTATCATTTTATTTCATATATCCTTATACCATCATTATTATTTTTATTCTTATTTTCCTTTTCATTACTGTTCGATTAAACTGTCTTTACCTCAACCCACAAGGTCTTTTTTCCTTTCCCCTCCTGTTCTCCCTCCTCTCATCCCCATCACTGCGACGGACCCTCTTTAAATTCGCCAGCAAATGGAGCCTCACCACTGGTAATTTTTCCTTTAATTAAAAAATACTGTTTTATCAGGAGCGGAAATCAGTGCATTAAAGGATCTGTTTCAATGAATTCTTCCCCCCCTCCCCCCGTCACAAAAGAAAAGAGCTGAAATAATCAGAAAGACGAACTCTGATGCTTTCAAATTGAGACCTCCGGCTTTTTCAGTTGAGAATGACTTTTTCATTTTGAAATGTTAATTGATAGTAAGAAGTATTAAAAGCCAGACAGCAAACAAAAAAATATATATCCAGCTCTTTGCAGGGACCTACTTGTTTGACCAAAGAAGCTGCTTTTCTGCTTTCGGTTCCTACCTCCTGAAGAACTTCTGAGATTTCAGTTTTACAACCTTATTTGAGGCAGGAAAAGAAAATACCAAAATTTGTAGCCGTTGCCTGGGAAAGCAGAGCCCTTCCCCACTCGGGTCTGCTAACAACCCACCAGGCAGTAAGGAACCGCTGCAATTTTATAGGTGTTTTATGCAAACACCTACTCTTCTATACAAGTTTTATGTGAGTGTACGGAGTTCAGCTCAGATATGAGGACTTCATTCAATTAACCGCAACAACACACTTTTTCTTTGCTACCACCTTCGGCACCAGGGTTGGGAAATTGCTCTTAGTGGGGGTACTTTTTATCCCACCCATCCCTCAGAAAGGATCACTATGTTCCCCACCAGACACGCGTTTCCCAGGCGAATTTGTGCTCCGAAGAGAGATTTCATCGCCAAAAAGTTTCCGCTCCCCCAGTCACAGCCGCCTTGGCCGTACCTGCCTCTTCTGGCCACGGCCGCGGCTCCCTGCATCCCCCCGGGGGCAGGGGGGGGACCCGCCGGGGGCCGTGGGAAGCCACAGGGCTCTGCTTTGGCTGATGCCTCATTTCACACCCCGTTGGAGCAGCCTGGCGCAGCTGAACCCCGTCCTCCTGCGAGCTTTGCCGGTGGGGAGCGATTACCATAGAAAAAAAGCTTTCGCTCCATTTGATTGAATGATGCCTTCTTACTAACCAAACAAGCTCTTCTAAGCATCATCTTTTTTTTCTCTCTTTTTTTTTTCTCCTTTTCCCTTTTTTTCAGTGCTTCCAGACTCACTGGGTGAAGCTGAGAGCATTTCTGAGCTGTGAGAAGGGTGCCTTTCCCTCCCCGCCTCCTCCGCAGGGTACGGCTTTGGCTCTGAGCTCACCCAGCGCACAACGTTCATCATCTGAGCTACCAGTAATAACACCGAGCTCTTACTTCACTCTTTACATCTCCAAAGTGCCATACAAACATTAACTAATTAATTAAGTTACACTGAAGTGCCTTTTACTTTTTCCCCCGAGGCATGAAGGAAAGGGGGACTCTCTCCAAGCTCCCCTCCGCGCTCCTCTTACTGCTGCATGCATCTGAAGCCGTCTTTTCTCACGGGCTTATTTTCTTGGCCCAGGAGGACCAAGCTCCAGCTGTGGGAGCTGCTCCCCAGGGAGCACCCAGATCCCCCGGGCACCGCCACACTGCATGGCTCTGCACGAGGCTGCGCCCAGCCAGCAGCGGGGCAGGAGATGCTGGGTGCCCAGGAGGACATGCTGGGTGCCCAGGAGGAGATGCGGGGTGACCAGGAGGACATGCTGGGTGACCAGGAGGAGATGCGGGGTGACCAGGAGGACATGCTGGGTGACCAGGAGGAGATGCGGGGTGACCAGGAGGACATGCTGGGTGACCAGGAGGAGATGCGGGGTGACCAGGAGGACATGCTGGGTGACCAGGAGGAGATGCGGGGTGACCAGGAGGACATGCTGGGTGACCAGGAGGAGATGCGGGGTGACCAGGAGGACATGCTGGGTGACCAGGAGGAGATGCGGGGTGACCAGGAGGACATGCTGGGTGACCAGGAGGAGATGCGGGGTGACCAGGAGGACATGCTGGGTGACCAGGAGGAGATGCGGGGTGACCAGGAGGACATGCTGGGTGACCAGGAGGAGATGCGGGGTGACCAGGAGGACATGCTGGGTGACCAGGAGGAGATGCGGGGTGACCAGGAGGACATGCTGGGTGACCAGGAGGAGATGCGGGGTGACCAGGAGGACATGCTGGGTGACCAGGAGGAGATGCGGGGTGACCAGGAGGACATGCTGGGTGACCAGGAGGAGATGCGGGGTGACCAGGAGGACATGCTGGGTGACCAGGAGGAGATGCGGGGTGACCAGGAGGACATGCTGGGTGACCAGGAGGAGATGCGGGGTGACCAGGAGGACATGCTGGGTGACCAGGAGGAGATGCGGGGTGACCAGGAGGACATGCTGGGTGACCAGGAGGAGATGCGGGGTGACCAGGAGGAGATGCTGGGTGCATCTTGGATGGCCTTAGGGAAATCACCACAGGGTGGTTGGAATTAGATGGTGTTTAGGTCCTTTCCAGCTCTAACCATTCTTTGATTCTATGATCGCATCTTTGCACACTTGGACACCTCTCTCCAAAGCAGGGAAGGGATTTGCTCCTCTCCTGAAAGGAGGTTGTAGAGAGGTGGGTGTTGGTCTCTTCTCACAAGTTACAGACTATAGGACAGGAGGAAATGGCCTCAAGTTGCGCCAGGGGAGGGTTAGGTTAGACATTAGGAAAAACTTCTACACTGAAGAGGTTATCAAAGACTGGACCAGGCTGCCCAGGGAAGTGGTCGGATCGGCGTCCTTGGACGCATTTAAAAGCCGTCTAGATATGGTGCTCAGGGACATGGTTTAGAAGTGGGTCTGGTAGAGTCAGATAATGGTTGGACTTGATGATCTTAAAGGTCTTTTCCAGCCACAACAATTCTATGATTCTCTCTCTCTCTCCACGTGTCCCCCATCAGCTCCAGTTAGACCCTTCAAGACCTATCCGAAAAAAACCCTGGCTGTTTCAAAAGAGAGAAACTTCTGGAGCTAGCCCTTGCTCTGGAAAAGCATCGCTTCGGTCCTTGGAGAGAGCTCCTGTGCAACCTCTCCATTGCCCGCACACCGTCTGAGAAATATTAGCTCTGATTTGCTTTATCTGCTTCATTTCTCCCTGGGTAAATGGGTCAAAGTCCTGCAGGAATTTGATGGCCAGGCCAGAAATAGAGCACAGGTGCTCAGCATCCGTGTCTAATGCCCTCGCCAGTAGAAAGTCCTTATCTGTTTAGTTATCTGATGCTATGAAGACAGAGCACAGCTTTTGTTTTCCCTTCTCACCCGTTCCTTCCTCCTCTCTTCCTCAGAATAGATCCTCACAAACTCGTATATGTGAACAAAAAATAAAAACCAACAACGCCAGAAATTCAAATCTACAATAGTATTAAGCAAACAACCCCATTGCACTGTTTCTGCAAGGCAAGGTAATTTCCTGTGAGCTATCCACCTATTTAGCAATTACCACATATCGTGGGACTCAAAGCTCAGTGGTGCTCCTCTCTGGTTGTGGGGAGCGACCACGGTGCCGGGACCAGCAGCATCCCTCCCTGCTCCTGCAGGGGAAGCCCTTGGTTATCCCCCCGAGACACCCATGTCCCCCTCCTGGCACCGACACTGCCTTTTCCAAGGTCACCTCATAAAGAAAAGGACGATTTTTGAGCTTCTTGGGGAAAATATCCTCATTCACAGATTGTGGCCGTTGCCCTGCAGAACAGAGCCCGGGACACACCACCATCATTTAATTTTTGTTATTTTTGTTCAACTTAACAACTTATCAGTCCTTCAAGGGAGGGTGCCAGGGGGATGGGAACAGTCTGTTTCCAGCGGTGCCCAGTGACAGGACAAGAGGGAACGGGCACAAACGTGACCATGGGCAGTTCCATCTTAACATGAGGAGGAACTTCTTTACTTTGAGGGTGGCAGAGCAGTGGCACAGGCTGCCCAGAGAGGTGGGGGAGTCTCCCCCTCTGGAGCCATCCCAAACCCGCCTGGACGCCGTCCTGTGCCACTGCTGGAGGTGCCCCTGCTCTGGCGGGGGGTGGGATGGGGGAGCTCCAGAGGGACCTCCCCCCCCCCACCACTCTGGGATTCTGGGATCATTTCTGAAAGCATCGTCATCACCAGCTAATGATCTGCAGTCCCAGAGCCCATCCTTCTGAGCTGGGTTGTTTATCATCATCAGTGTTGGTTTATTATTCTTGTACTGGCGATGCTAATAAATGTTTCAGAAAGCCGAAAGGGCCACTGCTGTCCTGAAGGAGGGGAGGGTGAATCACGGGGCTCCTCTATCTCTAGCCATAAGATGGGCTGGAAAAGGGTCTGGGGGGGACACTG